AAGCAGCCTTAAACTCCAAAAGTGAAGAGCTTGTTAATATGGTGGCAAAACACGCCTAGCTAGAAGAGAAGTATAGGAAAACTATTGAGCATAATAGGCTCTTTAGTTCAACTGTCCGTGAGCTTGATGTGAGTCTCAAATCTGTTAGATCCGCTCGGGTAAACCTTTCCGCCGAAGCTACTCAACTCAAAGAAGAAACCAAGCGCCGAGCGGCTTCCCTCATTGTTTGAAAGAACTTATTCCATGTATAGCATGAGGAGAAAAACCTTGGTAGAGGCCAAGACTGGTATCATTGACATTGATGCCAAAATTGCTAAGGCCCGAGAGCTTGATTTGGCTGCAAAAAATGGACTCCTGGCGCAGTCTGATGCTCCAGGTTCTTCTGATTCCGGTTCCGAGTTTACGGAAACTAAAGAAGGATCGGAAGATGATGATGGCGAAGACCAAGCTAGGGAAACTATTGAGCCATTGGTGGAACCATCTACTACTCCCGAGGATGTAGATACTGCTCTTCCTCCTAATTTCGGAGACGCTGCAGTTTAGCTTTTTGTTTCTTTTTCTATTTTGTACCTTTATCATTTTGACGCGTCCTTGTAAATAAAAGCATATTTTTTTCTCAAGTATTGTTTGAGTCTTACTTTCATTTGAATATACATACAAGTCTTTAATATTCGTACTTGCTTAAGTATTTTGCGCATGTTGTTCTGTTCGCGCTTTATTATGTGTAACCTCGGATACCTTTTCTTTGAAGCATTTTGGTTCCGAGTATTTTCCCTTTTTTGTGAGGGTTTCCATGAGTATTTGTGCAAGTTTGCTTTTTGCGTCTTTTTCATATCTGGTTTCAGGTGTACTTTTCCCCAATGGCATTCTAGATTCCGGGTATTGATTCTTCTGGAACCAACCCTTTAACGAGAGGGTTTTTATAAGAGAGGGACCTATTATGTTTACAGTGCTCTTAAAGAGGACGTCTCCTGTTTATTACGGCACTAACATTTGAATTACTTGTATAAATTTTAAATGGCAAGATTAACTCATCGTTCAAACAAGAGACAAGATAAAAACAAAAGAATTTCTTTTAATTTAATTCCTTCTATTTTCAAAAGTACATAAGCATTTTTCTATGCAGAAAAGAAATTGCCATGACTTGTGGCTGTACAGTCCCCTGTCCAGATGATGTATTCTGTTCCTAGATTTTTGTTCCCCGGTTAACGTGGCATTCAATGTTGTTGTATGCTCATATCATTCCCCCCTAGTGTTAGAATGCGAAGAATGCGAATTGGAACACTGGAAGTCTTGTATCTTCGAAGATTCTACTAATGAATTGCTAGGTAATCCTTCACCAAGCAACATATCATGTTTCCCCTTAGGAACCCATGCTATCGAGCGAAAGAATACCTAACAGTCCTCTAGTGGTTTGTGCTCGTGAACGATCGGGTAACCTCTGTTCGGTAGCAAACTTAACTTCCCGGTGGGAATTTGCTATCGAACCAAAGATTACCTAATCGCCCCCGAGTGAAGCCTTGGAATCGGAGATCTTATTGCTGCTTTCTTTGTAGTATGCTTTCCGTCGATGCCTCGTTAAACACCTTGCCAGAAAACCCAATGGGGACAAAAACTGAACGAAGAGAAAAAGAGTGCATCACATACTTTCCGTTTGACTGTTATTTGTCAGTAGTAATATCTTTTGAGGTGATCCATGTTCTAGTTGTTGGGCAACTTGTATCCATTATATTCTCCAACTCGAATGATCATTTCCCAGTGATAGCTGAAACCCGGTAAGGGCCTTCCCATGTTGGGCCTAACTTGCCCGAGTTAAGTTCCCGGGTGTTTTGAGTTACCTTCCTCAAGACCAAGTCTCCTACTTTGAAATAACGGAGGTTGGCTCTTCGATTATAATATCGCTTCATTCTCTGCTTTTGAACCGCCATTCTGACATGCGCTAAGTCCCTGCATTCCTCGAGCAGCTCCAAGTTGATTAGCATTACTTTGTTATTCGATTCTTCGTTCGCCTGGAAATACCTTAAGGTTGGTTCCCCTACTTCCACCGTTATTAAAGCTTCTGCACCGTACACAAGGGAAAAATGGGTTTCTCCCGTGCTTGACTTGGCCGGTGTTCGGTATGCCCATAGAACCTCAGGTAATTCTTCGGGCCAGTTGCTTTTTGATGCTTCCAAACTTTTCTTTAGATTTTGTATAATCACTTTGTTTGTTGACTCTGCTTGACCATTCGCGATCGGATAATAAGGTGAAGAGGTAATCCTCTTTATCTTCAAATCTTCAAGGAACTTTGTAAATTTTGCGCCGATAAACTGTGGCCCATTGTCGCATGCAATCTCTTTTGGTATTCCAAACCTGCAAATTATGGTTTCCCATAGGAAATCGACCACTTCACGTTCTCCGATATTCTGATAAGGACCTACTTCCACCCATTTAGAAAAATAGTCAGTCAAAATTAAAAGAAACCTTAGCTTTCCGGGAGCCAGTAGTAGTGGTCCGACGATGTCCATCCCCCATTTCATGAATGACCACTGGGACAGAACCGAATGTATGGGTTCTACCTGTTGATGTACTAGTGGTGCGTAGCGTTGGTACTTATCACATTTTCGTACGAAGTCTTTGGCATCTTGTTCCATACGGAGCCAGTAATATCCTGCCCGAACTAATTTCAGCACCAAAAAATCTGCACTTGAGTGGTTTCCACAAATCCCTTTGTAGACTTCTCTCATGACATAATTAGCTTCTGATGCTCCTAAGCATCGGGCCAACGGGCCTTGAAAGGAGATTTTGTACAATTGGCCTTTCTTGTATCTATAACATGCAGCTTTGGCGCGTAACACTCTTGATGCTTTGGGGTCTTCAAGCACTTTTCCATGCTCGAGATAATCGATTATTTTGTTTCTCCAGTCCCAGACCAAACTAGTCGAATTCACCTCATAGTAACCATATGTGTCCAAGACTGAGTTCATCAGTTGTACTACCGTTCCTGATTCTGATCCATGGACTTCTGTCGATGAGCCCAAATTAGCCAATGGATCTGCTTTCGCGTTATCTTCCCTCGGGATATGAGTAATTGACCACTCTCGGAATCGTGCCAATAAAGCCTAAACTTTTACCACGTACGTTCTTCTTTGGAGTCAAAAATTCCATAGACCTGATTTACCACCAACTGCGAATCACATTTGATTTCAATGATTTCAGAGTCAATCCCCAAGCCAATTCGAGCCCTGCAATCAAAGCTTCGTACTCTGCTTCATTGTTAGTTAACGGAATCGTTTTGATGGCTTGCCTTAAGGTTTCCCCCAAAGGCGTGATCAAGACTATTCCAAGCCCGAACCCTTTACGTTTGCAGCTCCGTCCGTAAATAAGGTCCAAACTCCCGATGTCGATTCTGACTCCATTATTGCCTCCATGGCCGCCAGAGGCAATAAGTCAGCCAAGACTTGCGACTTAATTGCAGTCCTCGATTTATATTCTATATCGAACTCGCTCATTTCGACGGCCCATTTAGCCAATATACCCTAGAGCTCGGGTTTATGGAGGATATTCCTAAGAGGGAAAGTAGTCACTACAGCTATCGGGTGGAATTGGAATTAGGGTCTCAGCTTCCGAGCGGCAACTACGAGAGCTAAGGCTAGCTTTTCCAGATGTGGGTAGTGAATTTCTGCTCCAGTTAAAATTTTACTAATGTAATAAATGGGAGATTGTGTACCTTCGTCCTCCCGGACTAAAACTGCACTTACTGCAACTTCTGAAACTACGAGGTAGACCAACAACCTTTCACCTTCTTTTGGTTTTGAGAGCAACGGAGGGCTTGACAAATATATCTTCAACTCCTTCAAGGCTTGCTGACACTCCGGTGTCCATTCGAAATTATTTTTCTTTATGAGTAGTGCGAAGAAGCGATGACATTTTTCCGATGAACGGGAAATGAACCTCGTCAAAGCTGCCAATCTCCCTGTGAGCCGCTGGACTTCTTTTACGTTAGAAAATTGATCCGGGATGTCCTCTATGGCCTTGATTTTGTCGGAATTTACCTCAATTCCTCTTTGTGAGACTAGTAATCCTAGGAACTTACCCGAACTGACCCCGAGCGCACACTTCTGGGGATTAAGTTTCATATTATTCTCCTTCAGGATATCGAATGTTTCTTGCAAATACTTCAGGTGATCACTTGCATTCAAAGATTTAACGAGCATATTGTCTATATATACTTCCATAGTCTTTCCTATTTTTTTCCGAACATATTATTCACGAGCCGTTGATAAGTGGATTCGGCGTTCTTTAACCCGAATGGCATCACATTGTAACAATATATGCCAAAATTCATTATAAAGGAAGTCATTTCCTGATCTTCTAGGTTCATCTTGATTTGATTGTACCCAAAATAAGCATCGAGGAAACTCATTAACTCGTACCAGACCGTGTCATCAATCATTTGATCGATATTTGGCAATGAGAATGAGTATTTCGGGCACGTCTTATTAAGATCCTTATAATCTATGCACATGTGAAATTTATTATTTTTCTTAGGAACTACTACTACATTGGCTATCAAGTCTGGATATCTTATCTCTCGGATTGAATCAATCTTAAGTAAATGGGTTACCTTTTTTTTTGATGAATTTATTCCTTGCTTCGGCAATATGGCGCTTCTTATGCCTTACCAGAGGTATGTTGGGATCCAAACTTAACTTGTGCACGACTATCTCCTTAGGGATTCCTGTCATATCCTCGTGCGACCATGCAAAACAATCAGCGTTAATTATAAGGAATTCGATAAAAGCAGACCTGAGCTCCGGGTGCAGTCCTGTTCCCAAATGGAATTTCCTTTCTAGGAATTCTTCGAACAACACAACTTTCTCCAGTTCTTCTGTCGTGGACTTCGTCACGTCCATCTCTTCTAGTACTTGAAAATACCTTGGTACCTAGTATTGTTTCGACTCTTCTGTCCACGGGCTAACTTCATCTGGTTCGGGGGCAGGTGTCAGTTCCGGTGATTTCTATGCCGCATGTTCCTTTTCTTTGCTACTAGAGACCAAAATTGCATTCATCTCCCTTGCTGCCGATTGATCAACCCTTATCTGATTGATCCCCTCGAGTGTCAAAAACTTTAACAATTGGTGATATGTTGAAGGCACAACTTTCATCTAGTGCAACCATGGTCTTCCTAAGATGATGTTATACCCCATGCCTCCATCTACCACTTCGAAGAGAGTAATCTTCATTACTCCCTCAGCATTCGTGAGCAGCAAAATTTCTCCATGGGTTGTCATGCTTGCCAGGTTGAGTTCGACGAGGAGTTTTGTTGCCGGAATAATGCATCCAGTGAGTTTAGCTTGCTCCAGTATTTTCCATTATACAATATTAGCTGAACTTCCTGGATCTACTAAAATATATTTAATTTTAAAATCTAACACATTTAAAGAAATTACCAGTGCGTCATTGTGCGGTAGCAATAATCTGTCTGCATCTTCATCCATAAATGTGATATCGTCTTCCCGGAGCCGTTTACTGTGAGTTATCAATACTTTTGTCTTCTTCGCTGCCGAAAAGGTGACCCCGTTAATTTCATTTCCTCCGAAGATCATGTTGATCGTTTGGTATGGGGGTTCTTCTCCTGTTTTTGAGGTTTCTGCGTCGCCATTGTTCCGACCATAATTGTTTTTAGCTCGGTCACTCAAGAATTCTATGAGGTGACCATTCTTTAACAGTATTGCCATTTCTTCCTGGAGGTGTCGGTAGTCCCCAGTCTGGTGGTTGTTAGTGCCATGATATTCACACCATAAATTAGGATCCCACTGGCTGGGATCAGATTTCATAGGTCTTGAGAATCGTGCCTCTTTGATAGTTCTCATGGCTGACACCAACTCCACCACAGTGACGTTGAAGTTATACTCCGACAACTTTGGGTAAGAAGAATCTCGCGACCCCGAGATTTCTCTATCCTGTAGTGATCTGTTGTTCCGACCACGATCGGTCCTTCTATCAATGGTGAACTTGTCTGCAGTTCGGAAGCTCCTGCCATGACCTTCTCTCATGTCCACTCCTGCCACCCAAGTCGTCGCTTAAAACTCGAGCAGACTTTCCTTCAACTTTCGGGAAGCGTCCGAACTTCTCAGATTTAAACCTTTGGTGAACGCTTTAGCCACCCATTCATCCGGGACAGTCGGTGGTAACATCCTTTCCTTCTGGAACCGGGTAACGAACTCTCGTAATAATTTGGATTCTCCCTGCATGATCCTGAATATGTCGGCCTTTCGGGCTTGTACCTTTCAGGCACCGGCATGAGATTTGATGAAAGAATCCGCTAGCATCTCAAAGGAATATATGGAATGCTTGGGCGATAATGAATACCACGTTAAAGCTCCCCTCGTGAGAGTCTCACAAAATTTTTTCAGCAACATAGACTCAATTTCGTGAGGATCCAAATCATTTCCATTCACTGTTGTTGTGTAGGTAGTAATGTGCTCATGTGGATCTGAAGTTCCATTATATTTTGGCATTTCAGGTATTTTGAACCGCTTTGGGATTAATTCCGGGGCCGCACTCGATTTGTACGGTACTTGAATATACTTCTTCGAGTTCGGGCCTTTTAATACTAGTGGCGCACCCGGAATTTGCTCCATGCGAGCGTTTACTTCCTTCATGAACCGTAAAATTTCCTCCTTGAACGGATCGTTACCGTTGTTAAGGCCGGATTTACTCCTCCCGGCCCCGTCGTAGCCAACTTCGTCCCTGGGAGTATTGTTGTCGACTCTCTGTATCGTTTGGTTTGCGGGAACATTGGGAGGAATTGGATCTCGCCTATTCGCATTATTTGAAGCACCTGATAGCGTCTGCTTTAGTTCCGTCAAAACCTGATCCTGCCGCGTGAGATGACCTATAATGATTGCCTGTTGCTCTTGCAGGACCCTCATCTGCTGCATGCTCCTCATCAGCATCATCAGGAGTCGTCTCTCGAACCTGTCGGAGGTACCATCCGTCATGCACTGGTATGGCGTCATTCCCCTCATTACGAGTGTCACTGATTGAATTCTCGAAATAAGGCTGCTCCCCTTGAATTTCAGGGTTGTGTGTGCCGTTAACAATAATATCTTCCATTTCTTTTATGATTTTTACTAAGACAAAATAATCAAACACGTTAGTAAAAAAGGTAAGGATCAATTTAATCGCACGACTGTCTAGGCCCCACGGTGGGCGCCAAACTATTTACCCGTAAAATGGTACAGTTGAATTTGTTCGTGATTTCTAGACAAGTGAATTAATTTGATCCAAAAGGTAACAAAATAACAGATGAAATATAAAATACTTAGCCTTAGAATGTAAATGATAGAACTGACGAGTCCGGGAACAGGGTTTCCGGGCACAATAAGGATGAGATCAAAAAGCGAGAAAGCAAAATTGTATTAAAATTCTGTATAGAATGTAGTGTGAGTTAGCCAGAAAATTCGTGTCCTTTACAATAATAAATGAGCTTTCTATTTATAGTTATGTCTAGGGAAAAGAGTCCTAGGATCCTGCCCTTCTTTAATGTCAATTATGAGGACCATTGATGAAGATGTAACGTTAGACATAAATGCCAAATTCCTTGTAACGGACCATATCCTTAATGCTGCAAAATATTTTGTATTAAATGTTACCGGGCTCAAAACATTTAATACTCCTTTTATGGTCGTTATTCCTTCCGGTGATAAGCGAAATAGCTATGTTTGGTGGCCATCCTCATCTTGTGTTCCACACGTCCTTCCTTTAAACGATCACGCGTCTTGTCGTATTTTTACCTATACACTTGTAGCAAATTAAACCAAAATTTACATTCTTAATATCTTGAACTTATTGTAACACTAATTACCATGTTTAATTGGACTGGAACCATCAACTCGTTACCTTATTAGCCTACAAGTTTATCGATATTATATTTGAAAACGGACAAAGTGGCGGAGCAAGAAACTCGAAAAAATAAACTCAATAAAGAAAATTGTCAACCACTATAAAATATATTTTTATGGAAACGAAAAAGTTACTTGTGAAGAAATTTAAAAGATGTTATTCAAAAAGAATGAGAAAGAATTACAAATTTATGTGAGGACAAAATTATATTTACCACTCAATTTAGACCTCATTATCAACTAAATGATTATCGTAATTAATCCAACTTAGGAGAAGAATATTAACAAGACTTTAAGATTATTGCTACTACTAGCCATCCCAAAGAAGAACCTTAACCAAACACGTATGGCACTATAGATAATAATTGACCAATAGTTTATTCTTATTTCATCTGGCATTTCCAATGTTGCTGGCTTGAAAATCAATTTTTGTCAAAAAACAAAAAGTTTGTTCTATGAATCTTATCCACAATCTTTATGATATATGTTCCGTAAATATTTGGTGCAAGAAAAATAGTTTAAGGGGTAATAAGTAGTACACTTCGTTCTCATGGCTCGAATCCGAAAATTTTTATTAAGAATAAAACAATCATATCAATTCCACCTCAACATTTGTGGTTGCACGTTTCAAGTTATGTTATGCCTAAAGTTTTTCTTTAGTACCTGAACTAAAGGGGGAAAAGAAAAAGAAAGATTGATTGTTTATCTTGATCTTAGCCATAAATATTGGTTCAAATGTAACTTGCCTGTTTAAGATAATTTCAAATCCAGATAAGCTGCATTTATTATACATGAATAGTACTATTTAATTGCCTAAACCATATGAAATGGACAATAACAGTCAACAGTTTGACCAGAATTAGGGGCAAAATATAGTAGTTATTCAGTTTTTAATATTCTAAAATTGCATATAAGTTAAACACTGTCGGCGTCACACATTTTAGGTAGTTTGTTGCCTTTCTATTTTTATAAATGGGTGAGGAGACCGACCAAATAGCGTTCAGGAGATTTATTTGTTAAAAATGTAACAAAGCCAGAATGAACTTTCAACTCATATCCAGATCGCATTGTTGCATAGGTGTATTTTGGGGAATTAGTTTTAATTATTTCATTTTTGGTATTTGTTAGGTACATACAATAATAGATGACATATGATGCTCGAGTAGTATTAGTAATAATAATATTAATGTTTCGGTTATCTTTCTTTTAGTTTTAATTATATACTAAAATTATGTTCAAGTGTTGATTGAAACAAGTGAGATGAAATAAGGCCAGATTCAGCGAAGTCAGGAATCTTTCCGACGGTGTTTAAATTTAAAAGAAGTGGAAAAAAAAATTCATCGACAAAAGATATTCCATATATTTTTAAAACTTAATATTTTATCTATATATACAATATATTTTTTCGAACGAGGATGGTCAATTCCTTCTAACAATGTAGCTTTGCCCATGACAGAGTGTTCCTTTTCATCCTTTTAATTTGATGGAACGAAAAAGTTTAAGGTAACACCAAAAATTATTTCTTTCATAAAATGTTTGTCGAAATGTCATTGGTTCATATAGTCCCTCCCACACTAACGAGTCTTGTATTAATGATTAGGTGAATAACACTGAGTTGCGTGTGTATATAATAGTGTGAATAATTAGTTTCACTAATATTCGAGGTATTTTTAAAGATAAATTGATTAATTTTGGTAGATTTAGAGCTCACTTAAGTGCCTATCACCAAGGGCGAATCTAACGCAATGATACCGGGTTCAATTGAACTCATAATTTTCAACATGAAATATAAATATAAATATATAAATTAACTAAATTTGTAACAAATAATTGATATTAACTTATAACTTTAAAAGTATAATGAATTTTATTTACCCGAAAAACGGTATAAGTTAAATTTATATATAGTTCTAAGGACACGTGGTATAACTTGACACAAAGGAATATCAAATATTGGCGGTAAAAAATAAAAAATAAGCAGAGTTGAGAGGATGATTTATGAATAAGCAAGAAGAAATAATGTATGAAGCTCAAAAGGATAATCTTCCAATCTCGGAATGTAGCAACAATATTTCAGTTATATTGTATGAGTGACTTGATAAATATGCCTCTACAGAAACAATAGTCATCCCTCTTATAGGGGAGGGATCCTACTTTAGATATAATTAAAAATACATAGTGGGGAACCCATGATAAATCAGTTTTTCCCTAATTCCCGCCGAGATTTTCTCCCTTAGTGCGGTTGCAACGGCTCTTGTCTATGAGCTCGATATTGACTCGAGCTCGATATTAACTCGAGCTCGTTATTGACTCGAGCTCGATTTTAACTCGGGGCCCGTTATTTATTCGGGCTCGGTATTGGTCGGTCTCTAACTCTTAAGCTCGATAACTTCGCTTCACATCATAGTTCGATTTGGATTTGAGCTCGATAATAACTTCGAGCTCGATATTGATCGGTCCCTAAAAATCGAAGCTTGGTAACCTGACTTCGGATCTTATCCTGATATTTTGAAGACGCTCTTTGGTCCTTTATGTTCCAATTTCGACCAGTCATACGAAGGCCGAAGTAGGTTTTTACCGTATACAGGTAGTCCCCTCGTTTTTCGGGAAGGATGTGGCGAGAAACGACGTGATTTTTCAACGGCACTATTAGATATACATTGACGTCTGCATCGAGCCTGACCATGACGTACGTGATATATGCCCGTTGATTCAGTTTATCAAGGCATTTAATGCGTGTCAGACGATGGTCGGCCACTGCTGATATTGAACCGCCATTGCCCAACCTATAAATAGCCCATTTTATTTTACCATTAATCACTTTTACATCTCCAATCACCAAATTTTCTAAGCTCTTTCTCGCACCTTCTGAATTTATTTGTAAGTCTGCAAAATTTTTCTTCTGTGATTTTTACTGCAAAATCTTTCTTTATAACACCACATCTTTGTCATTTACTTCTATTTTA